GAAAAACCTTCTGTAGCTGTTTGAGGCCTTCTTCAACCGTAGTTGCAACATTCTGAATGTTGTAGTCTATCCGATCAATATTGGTGCCCTGATGAAGAGAGAAATGCATTTAGTGATACCGAAAAAGTTCGGAACCTGTTACCAAGGGCTGATGGATTCCTACCTGATCAATCACGAGAATCGACAGATCCTTCATAATCTGAGCAAGCTCGTTTACTGACTCCACAACCTACAAGAAAGAACAAGTATATATAAATAATAAGCACGGGATAGCTATGAAAGCATCTTGGATAAGAAAGGTTCTGTGAGTATTGAGTAATGCACTACTTGCCTGTTGGATCTCCCTCTCCCTCTCAACAGTGTACGCCTCACTTTGTTTTAGCTTTGCCATCTGATGCTCATTAAACATCTAAGTAGCATAACTGTGAAAGATTAGAATCTAATGCCTAACTGGAATCGAAACATAAGACCTAATATCTCATTATTTTGATATCCAAAATAAAATTGAGCTCCAGAATCCAAACATGATATTTGTGTTTAGCACCCTAAAACTCATCTTTACTGAAATGACTTTGAATAGATAATATAATGGAAATGAACAGGAGATGATGGTTTAAGGAAATACCAGATCATCCAAGTCGTCATCTTCTTCTTTAGGCCTATTCCCATTTAGATTCATCTCCATATCAGCTCCTTCCTGATCATATACAAGAAACCAATAATTTAATTACACTGAAAACACCAAGCAAGAAGTCTGAATTATTTGACCGGTTAGCATTCAGAATGCAATAAAATAATTATAACATGTTGCATTGCCGATAAGAAAGTTCCTTTCATTACCTCCATTTGCTGCCTGAGGCGCTTCAAATAAGTTGATTGTTTCTTACGGAGCTCCATTGAAAGGTTCTGAAGGTCAGTGGCGAGTTGACGCTGCCAAAAAGAAGAAAAGCATGAAAAGAAAGAAATAAAAACAAAAGTACAATCCTGAATCGAACATTCTAAAGAATAACACCAGATGTCAAACATCACCATCTTCCGCTTTTCAACAACACAGGTGTGTAGGTTAGAAAAATTAAAGATGACATTTTATCTCTCCAGCCAAAAAAAGGAAGAAGGAAAGGAAGCATGGAATACATAAATTATGAGGACTCCTGTAGCCTAGACAACAAAGGTGATAGAGAGAGGGAGCACTTGACACCGCATCATGTTAATACCATCCTCCCCAAAACCTGCTACTCGTAAAGTTTTGGCCAATAGGCGATAGAAAAATCACCATAGTAAATGAATAAGTGACCTACGACCACTTGCCTAAATGATTTATATTTCTTGGCCTGAACATAAAGCTTCAAAAGTGAATTTGATAGGCACTACGTCTTACCTGAACATTTTTCCTGACATTTGAATCCTCGGAAGGTCCAGTAGCAGAGAGTTTCTGTAATCTCTTCTCTGATCTCTTCAACAGATTAGTTATCTCATTAGTAAGATTCTCGATATTGCGTTGATCTTCTTTACCATCACCAAATGAAGGCATTAAAGCCTTTGCGTGAGCCTTGCCTAACTCGGCCATTTTAGTCCGTGCACATTGCACATTAGCAGCTATTTCTTCAGAAAAATCTACCCAAGCTGGTGGTAAACCAATGGTAACCGCACCCTTACTGCAAAACATAGACAATCCTTTATGTCCTAATAATGTATGACCACTTAAACATAGTAACAGATAAATTCACAAAAAAAAATGAAAGAGAAGATGAACTTCAGAAGAAACCGCAATCCTATATCTACTTTCCCTATTTGCAAAGCTCTGATCTTTCATTGTATTTGTACTGCATAAACTTCCCCATAAGCTCCTGATGTGTAGCAATTTCAAAATAATTTAAAATATCTCAGGAATCACACCTAAATGCTTCTCATGAGAATTATTCACTGATCAACAAACAAATTCAACCACATTATCCGTACCAGTCTCTTCAACGCCAATTCCTCGAAAAGTATTGAATGTTTTATAAAAATCTAGCACTCCATTAAAATTTTTACTTTTCCTAACTTCATAATTCAATTTAGAAAAAAATAGAAAAGCAGAAAACACCCGCCAAAATTAAGTTAAATTATATCTGAACAAGTGCATGCATAATTAAAAGAAGAAAAATATTGATCTTGATCTTGAATTAATTCTTCGTCTTATTTTAACAAATTAACAGAAGAAGAAAAAAACGAATATGATCAATAATAACAGTTCGGAATGCAATGTTACCTCGAGTTTCCAGGATCCACGGTACTTAGAGCAGTATAAGACCGCTTTGAATGGAGCAACGCAGTACTGGCCATCTCAATGGCAGACGCTCCGCCGGAGTTCGCCCTCAACTTCGCCTTCGATTCCGACGACGAGATCGTCGGAGCTCTAACACCCTTCAACGCATCTCTGTATTTATTGAATAACCACGACCGGTTCCTCGTCGCCATTGCTCTCCAAAACAAAGTTTAGATATTATCCAAAATAAATTTAAATACAGATTCAGAATTTAGAGATCTAAACGTAACGTTTTCTCATGGCGGAGCAATAATGAGGTGAACGGCCACGCGACCGGAGGCCGGCGATTGACCGTTAAGGAGGCAGTTGAAACAACGGCCGAGTCACGTGCCGGCGAAGAAATGATACGGTGCGCGTGGAATTTGTTTTTTCCTTTTTGGATTTTTGTATTAGGCTCTCGGTTTCCCGTTGACCTTTATTTTATTAGTGAAATTAATCTACATTTTTAGTTTAATTTTCAATCGGGTCGGGTTTAGTTGTAGGGCTAGGGCCCAGTTACAGTGAGAAATGGTTTTTTTTTTCCAATACCCCAAGCGGATTAATTATTTAGGGTATTCGACTAAAATGGACTTTATTTTTCGAAACTACGACATTCTCTACAGTGAACACTGAACTCGTCACTTTGAGGTGACGAGTTCCTGAAGATATTATTTTTAAATTGTCTCTGTGAAGTGGGCTCTACATGACTCATTATTTTATTATCATTAAAATGACTCGTCACGTCGTTTAAAAATATTTTTTTTAATTAAAAAATAAAATAAAAAATATAAATTAACAAATTAAGTGAAACTCGTCAAGTCGAGATGACGAGTTCCTTCAAATTTAAAAAAGTAGTTGTTGGTCGACGGCTATATGGGCATCGGTCATGGCCAACGGTAACTTGGAACTCATCACCTCGAGGTGACGAGTTTGGCCGGGAATTTTTCCCAACTAGTCGTTTATAGCGTTGGATGTAAGGCTATAAATAAGGGTTTAAGGTTTTGGTTTCTCACCAAACCCTAAATCCAAAAAAATACAAAAAATACATCCTGTCAAAATCTCAAAAAATAGCAACTCGAGAATATATGTTGCACCGAGGTGACGATTCATTTATACTTTTTATTTTATTTTATTTTTATAATTTCAAAAAATTAAACGGACTCGTCACATCGAGATGACGAGTCATTTAATGATAATAAAATAATGACCCACGTAGTACCCATTTCACGGAGACAATTTAAAAATAATATCTTCGATGTCCACTGTAGAGAATGTCGTAGTTTCCAAAATAAAGTTCATGTTGACTCAATACCCTAAATAATTAACCGGTTTGGGGTATTGAGAAAATAAACCGAGAAATGATCCGATCCATATAAGCTCATGAATCATGAATCACCTAATTTGGTCTAATTCTAGTTGTAGTTCTTCTATTATGGTGAGATTTAAATTTTGCTTTTACATAATTAAGGTTAGGGTGAGTATCCAGTTGAGTTCAGTAAAAAAAAATCGAGTTAGTTTAGTTGATGAGTCTTATTTTATAATTCAAACTTCATTTGATTCTTTTTCGAGTCGAGTTGTTCGAATTTTGTTTAAATTTTATAATATTATGTTATTATTTAATTTCAATTTAAATAATTTTCTATAACTATATATATATATATATATATCATATTAGAGTTGAGGGACTCATCACAAACTCAAAAATAAATCCAAAAATTATTAAAAATTTTAAGTTATTTAAGTCGAATCAAGTTTATTCAAAATTTTCAAGATCGAATCAAATTTAAATTTGTTAGTCGATTCAGATTCCGATCACCCTTAATTAAGTTATTTGCTTCTATAAATGCTATTAGTATATTAAGGTGAGAGATATTATATTTCTTGAATGGAATTAATGATTTAAATTCTGACGTTGAGAGTAAAATAAATTAAGTTAAAAACATCGTTCTCATAATGAACCTTATAATATTTGATTCAGTAATTAATTAATTAATTAATTAATATCAATAGTTAATCAAAAATTGAATAACATTTTAAACCATTATTAAATAGGATAATTACACATTTAGTACCAACTATAACTTTTGTTCCGTTTTGATCGCATAGTTATTTTTTAAAATTATACCTAACATTTAGTTTTTGGTTTTATTTTTGTCACTCGTTGTTAAAAAATTAATGGTGATACGACTATTTCATCATAAGGTAATGTCATGTCATCATTCAAAAAATAAAAAGAATAGCACGTTAATGATTTTGTTAATTTTTAACGATAGATGATCAATATGAAACTAAAACCAAACATTAAGTATGGTTTAAAAAATAGTTAGATGACCATAATCGAACAAAAGTGATGGTTAAGGTATTAAATGTGTAGTTTAACCTTAAATTTATTATTAATAAAATACAATTGATTAAATTTATATATATTTTAACAGTTTAAATTTATACGAGTCAAACAATTTTAATGGCTAAATGATTTATTATTCTTTTTAAAAGTCTCAAAATTATAAACCGATAAGATGTCTTTATAAAAAAATACTATCACTCGAAATTATAAAAAATATTAAAAAATTAAAAAAAAAAATTAAACAAATACTACCGCTCGAATTTATAAAAAAAATAGAATAAAACCTAAAAAAAATTAAGATTTATATAAATACGTCACACTTGCTAGTTCCATCTCCACGAATCTCACTTCCAAAGAGGGTAAAAAGTAGCTGTTTTTCATTCTCATTCATCAAGCTCCAAAGACCTAGCTTGCCCCCGTTTTAGTTTCTGGGATTTTTGTTAGTTGAACTTCACAAATTCGAGATCAGGTTAGAAGGATTTGAGTTCTAACCCTAGAAATTAAAAAAATTATTTCTTTTTTTCAATCTTTGGGTTGAAAAGTAACAAAGGGGTGATTTAGAAATGGATGCTGATTCATGGACTACTTGTCTTTCTTCAAGCTTTAGGAGATATCATCAATCCTCTCTTCAATCACGATCTGGTAGGCCTTAAAAATCCATTTTTTAAGGGGAAAAACTTAGAAATCTTTTAAGAAAAGATTGGTTTTTCTAGTAGATTCTTTGCTTGCCTTCTAAAAAAGTTGGTTTAATGTTTGGAAATGGATTGAAACTGCAGATATGTTAATGGGGTTCGAAGAAATGGACGGAGAAGATGATATAAGAGAGGAATTCCCATGCCCTTTTTGTTCAGTGTATTTCGATATCGTCGGCTTGTGCTGTCACATTGATGATCAGCACCCTGTGGAGGCTAAAAATGGGGTATTTCTCAATTCCTCTATCTTTTCCTTTTCTTTTATTTGTTATAACTTATAAGCAAGTGTATTTTGTATTCTTATTGAGAATTGTTCAAAGTTTACTTAACTGAGTTAAGCTTTGAATTGTTATCTGTCGGCAAAAAGAAATTGGAAAGGGACTTGTTTGTTATGGACTCAAGTTGAGCTTTTGCTTCAGAAGTTGCTATGTTACTTAAATAGCTCTTGTAATGGTTATAATATGCCGTTTGCTATGATATCGGAAATTTTGGATGAACTGGTTTCGAACTATGAGCTCCAGTTCAGCTAACTGGACAAATTGGCTCGGTTGTTCTGATTGGAAAGGTGTTTATTGAATATGAACTCTGTTTATGATAGGTTGTTTCGGTTTGCAGGTATGTCCCGTCTGTGCGGTGAGGGTGGGAGTAGATATGGTTGCGCATATAACCTTACAACATGGAAATATATTCAAGGTAAGTTACTATTGTTTATAACGAATTATATTTGGAATTCATTGTTAAGTTGTTTAAAGTACTTGCCTTTTGTGTGACATCTACCATGAAATCATATCGGAGTCTGCTAAATTTGTAGAATTTGACCATTGGGTCTATTTCTTACTAGAAATTTTTATCACCTTTGACTGATTGCTTGGATCGTTTTAAAACCATTTGAATCAGTATGCAAGTGAACTATTCTACCCCCTACCCCCCCAATAGTGGAGCAGTAGTAGCACTGCTACCTTTTCTGTACAACAGTTGGGCCATTCTTAGGACTTGATTCATATATCTTTCGTTTCCTTAACGAGTGGTTACATGCAGCACAAACGGAAGTCACGTAGAAGTGGATCTCATTCAATGCTTTCGGTTCTGAGGAAAGAGTTGCGAGAAGGAAACCTGCAATCCCTCTTTGGGGGTTCTTCTTGTATAGTTCCCTCATCCAACTCCGCGCCTGATCCGCTGTTGTCCTCTTTTATTTTGCCTATGGTTGATGATTGCGTTAATGCTCAGCCTCAGTGTGCTAGCGAACCAAGCACAGCCAAGAAAAGTTCAGACGTGAATAAGTCCGAGAGGTAAGTTGTAGTGTGTTTAAAATTTGATTGTTCTTTCTATCTCCCGGTTTGTGTGATGCAGATCTTTTTAATTTACGTGGTCTTTTATGATTTATCTGGTTATATACTTGAAATTGTAGACGATTTAATGGATCTTGTCATAAGGGCATGCAAACGTTGTATCAGCAAGATATCCTTTGACAAGATCAGTGGTTTTATTTTATTTTATTAAAACGTGAATCCTTGTTGTGCTACCCAGGAATTAGAACAAGATGTTCAGCTCCATGTCATGCATTTGAGTGACTCAACCCCTAAAATTTTACTCGTTAAAGCAAAACCAAGCAGAATGACATCAAGGCTGTTGGTCACTTGGTCTTGATCCCTACCTGCTGGTCCATACGTATTTTTCTCTTGAAAAGTTCCGCGTATTTGCCGGTTTTTAAACAGAATGGTTAGAGCAGGCTATATTTTAACTCTTTGCTAGTATCAAATTACCCATCTGCCTTACCATATGCACAAATATGTATGGTATAAGAATTAGTCGTTAGGCTGAGTGTCTCAGTTTTTTTAGTGTTTATCCAGAGTTCTCAACCTGCATCATTACTGCAACCTTATTCCAATGAGACCGATGTGATGATTTACTATTGGATTTTCCCTCCTGCGATCAACTTCTATAGCATTTATCGGCTTTCTCATTCTGATTTTGGCTTTGATAACAGAAACGTGCAGTCAACGCCTCTTTCAGTCAAGGATCAGGAAGAGAAGGCAAAAAGATGTGAATTTGTTCAAGGGATGCTCTTATCCACGATTCTCGATGATGTTTTATAATTCCGTAAGGATGTTGCTGCAATTGTGGACCCGAATCCCATACGGTGCAACATTCGGCTATACAGCGAAGAAGAGGCCTATGGGTTTGTTATGCTGTTTGTAGTGAATATGTTGATGTATTAAGCATAAATGTTGAGCAAGGTGTAGGAATGTGTGTAATATATGTTGGCATGTGTGGACTTCTCCATTTCGTGTCATGATAATATTTAAAATAAGATAAATACATTTAAATTCTGGAATGATCTGTTGTTTTCGTTCTTATTCAGTACAACAACAACATGAACATGTGGTGGAACTCATGCATGTTATATGATTTTCAGTTGTCAAGCTATTAGTACATAACCATAATGTACCAAATGGTTATTTTGAAGAGCAGGACAGTTGTCCGATAATCAAGCTCCCCTCATTTTGCCTATAATTGGGTAATCAAATACCATTACATCTGTGTGTTTCCTCTAGCATGTATATCATTTTATGTTTCGAATAACAGTTGTAACCCGTATACGAAGTAGCCTATCGAAGTAATACCTTTCCCATGGCTTCGAACTTAAATCAGTGTGCATAAATGGCTGACCTGGTTATCAAAGCAAGAACTTGAGCACTAAATGCAAGTAGCATGCAGTACTGAAAATTGACTTTGTCCATCTAAACAATCTATTATGGTGATCAAATGAGAATAGAGCACTTTTGGGGGGTCAATGTCAGTGAATTGTAAGTATAAATCAACTGAAAAAATGTTGATGTTTTCTTTCTAATTTGGTTCTAAATCCTACCTGAAAAGGGAAAACAAAAGAAAGTACGCACAAAGATACATTTACTACATCGAAGATCTAAAGACCTAAGCTTAACCACCGTCGGGGTCTTGTATCCATGATCCTCTTCACTACATCTTTTACAAAAGAATCAAAACAAGTTAAGCAACAACCTTTCATTAAGCTCGCCTGACCAGCTTCCACTCTTTCGATGTGCACGCAATTTGATGATGGAGGCATGATTTGAACCTCGCTCCTCCTATGCTCAAGCCCACAAGCCGCCAGTAACGTATGCATGGAACTAGTTGCTATGTCCTTGAGTGTACCGTTGTCTGCATATACATATAGAAGGCTTTGAAAAGTCTCCAAAACACAAGATATAACTCAATCACTCACTAGTAAATATCATTCACAAAAAGCAGTTTAAAGATGGGAGCTTCACTTGCCTAAATCAATACCGTTGGAAAAGGCTTTCAAATGGCTTCTAACCATTGCATGCAATTGTTCCTTAGCCGTCAAAATATTATCATCATCTCTAACAGAAAAAGGCAAATCACAACCATCAGGCCTAATGTTTGATCCATTGCTGCAATGACGGAGTTGCTCATTTGAACTCATACAAGCAAGTTCGGGCCACAAAGTCAAGTTCACAGGTGTACTGAATGAAGTGGTTGTTGAATCTTGAACAGCTTGCCATCTCAAGTGACCCAACCTTGAAGAAAAGAAGTCCCTACTTTGCAGTGAAGAAGAGGGATAATCCTGTAACCTCCCCTCAAACATGATTTGGGATTGAGCTCCCACATCTTGTGTCCTAGGTTGTTGAACTGCAGATTCCCTACTCTGTTCAATGTGAGAATTTACAAAATCATCGTCCTTATTAGCAGATGATATTCCATCGGCCCTACCAGCCATAAGATTCGTCCTAGATGATATTCCATCAGCCCTACAAGCCATAAGATTCGTCCTATTGATTGAACGGATATTTTGTATCTGGCGGTGTAACCACCGCCTACCAGTCAGAGTTGGAGCTCCCAATCCAGAAACTGGAGAACCAGCGGCAATATCTACACTAGGAAATCTAGGAGACGAAAGACCCACAAAACTGGGAGTTAAAGGCATTCGAGGTGAAAGCACTACATTAGAGTCTATATTTTCTCCTACATTTACAACGGGTGAGAATCTATTGTACAGATTGTTTGTCCTTTGGTCAGGCAAAGAATCTTGAACTTGGGAACTAGAGGATCCGAGAGCTATAGGCCTGCAACCATCACAGTACCAATTATCTTCAGGTACTTCCCGCCCCAAACCAACACAATAGGTGTGTGCTGATGAATCACAAATATCACAGAGTAACATCAGTTCATCATCCCCACCTTGGTGGCATTCAGAACAAAAAAGGTTCTCATACGGGTCCATATAGCTTCTAAGTTCTTCCTCGGACGGTTAATAGACCTACATACAACAAGCATGTCCCTTCTAACCATGTGAATAATAAATAAAAGAAAGAAAATGAGAACTATTATGAGGAGAAATATAACATACCTGATCACGCTTCGGGACTTGGATCACCACCTCTCTCGAATCAACTCCTGTTGTTGCCCTAGTAGGCTTACTGATTGTTTCAAACCTTTGTTTGCACAATAGACAACGAGATTCCACTTTTGACCATGCCATAATACAGGTGAAACAAAAATAATGACTGCAGCAGCTCAATGTGCCCCTAAGTCTTCGCTTATCTTCCTCAGAGAGACAAATGCCACAAATTCGCTTTATTACTTCAGCCTTCTTTTCTTCTACCTTCTCCTTACCCTTTCTTCCTGTGGGTTTCTTATGCTGGCCTAGCTCTTCAACCTCCTCCATTATCTTCGAGGATGATGAATTCCTCAAACTAGTTTTCAAGCTTCCACACAATCGGTCGGCTTCTTGCACTTGTTCTCTCTCTTCCTCGGAGATGGTATACTCATTATCAGATGACCCGGATGAGAGAAAATCTGAACCATATGGTACAACATAAGCCTTGTTTTTGCGTCTTCCATTTGTTCTGCTCTTTTTTCTCACAATTGGAATGTTTTCTATAAAATCACAATCATCGTCATCTTCTTCCTCGACCCTATTCTTCCTTTTCAACCGACATTTCTTCCTTCCCCCTTTTCTGGAAGGCTTCTTAGAAACAGCAGATCTCTTCCTCTTTTTCCTTTGCTTTGAAGGATCTTTTTTTCGCAACCCTTTCTTATGAACTTTCATATTGTTTTTCTTCTTTTCCACAATCAATTCCTCTTCCTCGTCAAAACAATCTTCTTTGTCCAGAGTGAATTCGTCGTCGTCGTCTTCGTATTCCTCCTCCTCCTCCGGCTCATACTCTTCTTCTTCCTTCTCCTCCTCCACCTCATACTCTTATACTTCCTTTTCCTCCTCCACCACCTCATACTCTTCTTCTTCCTTCTCCTCCTCCACCACCTCATACTCTTCTTCTTCCTTCTCCACCTCCTCCACCTCATATTCTTCATCTTCTTCCTCATCAATCTCATAATCTTTGTCTTCTTCTTCATCCGATACACTTTTCCGCTTTCGTGCTTTTCTCTCCACAATCTTCCTCTTCCTTACCGGAGGCATCTTTTTAGCTTTCGACCTAACAGCCTTCCTCACCACTTTCTCTTCCTCCTCATCAAGAAAACCTCCAAAACCCTCTTCCGCTGCACATTCATCCAAGGAAGAACAATACTCTTCCGCATCATCCTCAGATTCATTCCCCTCCTCCGAAACTACATAATCTTCATCGGAGCCGTCTGAATCCTCATCCTTCGATCTATCCCTTTTCCTAAAGTTGTTCCTACGACCAACCTTCCCTCCCTTCACCATCTATCCTTACACCCCCCCAAAACAAAAAAAAAACAAAACACCCAACAAACAATCCCTAATCGACCGAATAAATACCGAACTTCTTCGATTCACACAATTAAACACCAAAATCACGAATTCAGAAATTCTGCAGCTCCATAGTTTCTTCCAAATCAAATATGAATCTTTAAAGGGGAAAATCACCAACGGATCTGTATTACCATAGAAAACATTAGAAAATAAAGAAAACCTAGATCATAAAAAGGAACATAGTAAAACATACATTGAACCAAACCAAAAAAAACATTATCAGACTTCACCAAAAACCAGACCAAACAAAATTAACCGTTACCTTTTCTTAAAGCTTTAATTTTTTTTCCTCATTAGAAAGAAAACGGACAATATTTCCAGCCATTCAAATCAGGATTCTTTGAGCATAAAATCAAAGAAAATCCAACAAATATTTCAAAAATAAATTGAAGGCACCCATAAATATCTAATTTTCCATCAAAATCAAACCAACAAAGGGAAAGAGATCAAACACAGATGAAAAAATAAAGCAAGAGAGAGCAAATTCTTACCTTGGAGGAGGAAGACAGCCGAAAAAACAAAAAAAAAATGTGATCTTTTTTTTGCTTGCAATGTCTAGGATTTTGCTTTTTCGGCCGTAGCTTGGTTCCTTTTTTTCTGTTTTTACGTTGCTAATTTTTTTTGAAAAATATATACATTTGTGCTGTTTTGAAAAATAAAAATAAAATGGAAAATATATGAAAACGTTTTTGATAATAACGATGATAAATAATTAATTAATTAATTATGGGCTACGCAACTTGGGGGGTGTTGATATGAAAGTACGGAAATGCCCTTGCCTCTGTGGAGCAGTTTAACTGTCATTTTGACTTGGGCTCTGATTCATACACCAAAATCGTTAGATCGAGTTAAATCAAATTTTTGAGTTTTTGTATAAATTTAGTTATAAATGTTTACAATATTATGATATTATTATATTTTAATTTAAATGATTTTTTACAATTTTATTCAATATATATATATATATTCATATATTATATAATATATTATACTGAGTCGATGAATTTAACTTGAACTTGAAAATCAATCCACTAATTATTAAAAATTTCAAGTTATTCGAATTGTATTTTATAACTCGACTTGAACTTGAAAAATTTTCGAGACGGGTTTATGATATTACAACTCGAAGTCAATTTAAGTCGAATCGAGTTTTTCTCACCCCTGCTAAATCGACACTACCAATTATTTTCTTATTCTTTTTAATTTATTATCTTATTTTTGTAATTTTCCTTAGTTTTTAGGTTTTGATTTTGATAAAATTAAAAATTGTTAATATATAATTGAAACTCTATCTCAGGTTAATATTTTCGCCCTCTTTACATTTTAGAATGATAAGATACATAACACCATCATTTTTAAACTTTGATATCTTCATTTTCTATTTCGATGTATGTTGAGATTTTCGGAAGCTTGAATCGACAACAGGAACGGTTTGTAAAGAAGGGTCGGAACGGTTTTATGTTTAGGGAGTAAGAAGATTGAAAGATAGACAACAGCAGGGTGCATCGA